AGCAGCTCGAATTCAACCTTCAGCCAGGGAATTTTTCTGCCTGTCAAGCGTAATTTTTATCTGCTAGCCGATCTAGAGGATCGTTCCTCCGCCAGAAATAATCTCCTTCCGTTAAATCCGTGCAAAACCCGTATTATATTCTTCCTCCTTAATCGGTTTTCTGATGGTCGACGATACGTTAATTGAACTATCTTTCTGTTCTTTGTCTTTCTTCTTTCTCTCCTTCCTTTTTTTTTTTCCAAAATGGACCGCGGTATCATCGGAAAAGCAATCTCTAAGCAAACCGGAACCGGAGCGTTCCGAGAACAAATTACTCGGCGAGCGATTTGGGTCATGCGGTCTTGTTTCACGTGCGAGGTGGTGGGAAATGTGTGCTTGCTATCGGTATCGGGGTCCTTACCGAGAGAGGAAGATAACGTTTATCGTTGATATTCGATATTTCGACGGGAGGGATGAAACGAGACGAAGAAGGCCAAACAGCCGAATTTCACAGGCGGTGAAGATAATCCGGCGATGCGAGAGATTCGGCCCCCCGTCTCGAAGAAGAAGAGCGCTTGAAAGCCCACAACATCAATCTCAACTACCTTCTCTCTCATTCGGCTCGAATTCGCATCGATGAGTAATCCGAAACCACCAAACAAACTTCTAACTCGCATCGGATGCCGGCTACTCCCTTTCTTGCCCGCATGTTTTATCCAACCAAATTTCTCCGTTCAGCTGACTGATATCGATAGCTTTCTTTTCCTTCTTCTAAAAGCAGATCTAGGAATCTTGACTGACGAATTCCTTTCTGAGACGTTGATCTCTTTGATTTGCTTGTTCAGTCGTTGAAGAATTTCAGGATTCTTCCTTGTTACTTGTCTCCTCAGCTGTTCGTTTGAACAGGTCAGTTTGGAAATGGATCTCGTTTGCCGATTTTCTCGAATCCCTTGAAAGATTCATTAAATTCACACGAGTATTGGAAAAGAATAATATATCAATGGTAATAATTCGTAATAATTATTATAAAAATAATATGATATTAATATTATTATAATAATATAATATTATAAAAATATTTAATAATTTTATAATAATTATTATAAATATAATATTAATAATATTAATAATAATATAATATTATACAAATATTTAATAATTTTATAATAATTAGTAATAATTATTATAAATATAATATAATATTAATAATATTTATATTATAACATAATAACAATATAATATTAATAATATTAATAATAGTATAATTATAATAATATATTATTATAGAAATATTTAATAATTTTATAATAATTAGTAATAATTATTATAAATATAATATAATATTAATAATATTTATATTATAATATAATAACAATATAATATTAATAATAATATAATTATAATAATATAATATTATACAAATATTTAATAATTTTATAATAATTAGTAATAATTATTATAAAATTATTAAAATTATAAAAATAATTTTAATGATAAACTCCTATTGTCTTCAAGTACTTAGCAACCTCCCTCCAACTTTCATTTGTCCCACTTGACACTCGCTGTTTCTCTCTAAAATTTTGTCTTTCAGGAAATAAACTCGCGACATTTCTCTGGAAATGTTGAAATTCGCTCCATCTGTCGTTTTATTCGAACAAACAATATTCACGAGTTCACGAATTTATCGTCGAATTTTCAGGGCGAATTGAATCGTCGAAACTGATTCGCGTCCGGCTGTCAAAAGATTACAGTTGTAATTTCGGGGTGGACGTTTATCGGGGCCGCGTGAAATTTTATGCACCTGTTGATATATGCAAGCGGCCGGCGGATTAAAGCGATTCGTTGCTCGTCAAAGAGCCAGCCCCGCTTTCCCGAAACGAACGTCGAACGATCGCGTGAAATGTCAAACGCCGATACGCGTGAATACGAATATCTTGGGAGCCAGCCGATCGCCAGCCACGTTCGATTTAACGTTGATTCGACTACTCGCGCGAGTCGACCGCGAGTCCATCGTGTCGTTGAATCTTCACTGCAATTTCGAGACAGGTTATGTGTTGTCCACACTGCGAATATAGTTGGATACGAACGTAATTCTTTGAACAGTTGACGCAATTCGATTGGAAAGGTTGATGTTCTTTATTCTTCACTTTTTTTAACTATTACGACGGAAGACTGACAAACGATCCGATAAATTTGTGTTTAAGTTCGTGTGCGTTCGTTTGTAATTATTTTTGAACCCTTGATACTTCGTGAAATTTATAGAAACTTTTAGTACGGAATTCTGAGAATTTCAATATGGAACAGATACACTTAAAGTCGTTTATACAGGTGTTTTTGCAGAGTAAATTTTCCACCTTCCAGTCGTTCCTTTTTCCATTTATACTGGTCAATGTTAACTATTATTTTGATAATGAGCAAATGTTCGCAGGTCAAGATGATTAACTCTGTTTCTTGAACGTTTTTTTTTTCGAAATTTCGACGATCGATGCTTAACTTTTTACATTTGCTTAATAAATTTTCTTAATAATTAGATCGAACTTGTTTGATCACAGAATGATAAATAATTTACTTCAGAAGCTAGTGTAATTATTCCAAGAACACATTTAGTAATGCTACGCTTGTAACAACACATTTTACATGTTTATTCTTATAAAATAAATAATACACTCTACGTGTAAATGTTCGAAGAAATTTTTAAAGAGGAATGTGTATTATTTTATACTCTTTGTTTCGTAGAGTCAACTAACGTGGTGAAATGAGCTCGTATGCAGACGAGAAAAGAAATTTTTGTTTCGACAAATAGAAATTAATTATATTGGAGCTGTACGCGTTTTATTACTTGGAAATGGCAATGTAAATTCTGTGACGAACGTTCCAATACTTGGAAATGGCAATGTAAATTCTGTGACGAACGTTCACAGATTTGTGTATCGATCGTTCATAAAGTAGAAACAGCACATCGACAGAAAGGGGCAAGGCTTTCGTCGATCGATATGCCATCGACGGTGAAAATTTCTGGCCAATAAAACTGGCCAGCGAGGACAATTACTATTTAATTCGCGAAAGTACCCTTTGTATTGACGATGGCAGAGCGACGAAACGGGTCATCACGTGGAATTAGATTACTGATGCTAATTGAACGCACAGTACCGCCATCTGATTAACAACAAAATTAATACTGCGCTGGTACGCTGAGTTCGATTTCAAATAATGGGGTTAAAAATATTTGCAACACAAATGGCGCGTGTTCGATGTTTCTTTTGTTTTTTTTTTCTCGAAATGTCTAACTGTGTATATATCGCGTTATTATTATGCTGTAATGAATGGATGTGCGTACGTTATCGGGCGTATTTTGGTTGGTTTGTAACAATGGTGTTCGAATTTAAGCAAAGTGTATAAATTAATTAGAAGCAATGCTGATCGCAGGTTTCGCTGACGATAAATTTCAATCATTTGTCAAAAACGTGGCTGAAATCAATCGTACACCGCTGTTTAATGAAACTGAGAGCGGTGAACTTTTAAAGAAAACAAAAATTTAATTAACACTCGTTTGGTAAGTACTGTTTAGATCGAATGATAGAATATCAATAAAATGTTATTACAACGAAATTCAATAAAATGTCGTTATAATAAAATTGATGAATTTACTTCTCTGTTAATTAGAAGCTCGCCGTTGCACGACTCGAAGCGAACAAAACGATATTCGCTGTTAATAACAACAGCTAGGAACTTTCTCTCTCTCTCTCTCTCTCAGATCAGCTCTTACATAAGAAGCGAAATAAAGTATAAAAACTGTCGTTCGGATAATTAACGTGTCTGCCGCGTATTTATTTCACTGTGAAAAACATTTCATTAGGAAGAATAATGGAACGACGATGGATAGAGTTCGCGAGAGTCGCGAAGGGTAGTTCTTGCTTGGAGAATCGCAACGTTAACAAAACGTGGTGGAAATGCGAAACGCCGCGAGAGACGCGGAAAATTGTCGTCGGACCTTTCATCTTTCTTCTCGTCTCGGCGAGAAACAAAAACGAATGGTGAAAGAAAAAGAAAAGGTGAACGACTTACAAAGAACGACGCTCAGTGGTATTTGGAGAAGGGGTGGATCGAACCAGCGAGTTTTTCGACTAGAAACGAGGGCCTCGGTGACAGGCAGAAACACTCACACGTGTCGCGCAGACGGAAGGCTTGGTATTAACGGTGATGGATCGTTATTGAACGCGTGTTCTTCTTTGTCCATCGAGCGTGGAAACCGAAGCAAAGACAAGAAAAATTATTAATTGCCAATATATATATATAAAACTTGATCTCTCTCTCTCTCTCTCTCTCTCTTTCTCTCTCTCTCTCTGCTGGTCGTAGTCAGTTAACGAAGAATGGGTTTGAAAGAGCAACTCGTGATAGCCGAGGGAGAATTTATAAGGGTTTCAGTTTCAGTATCGGGGTGAAAACCACTGAAGTTATAAATATGAAACGGTCCGCGGATAAAACGATGCCAATATGTTATAAATAGCGTGCGTACATTTGTTCTTTCCGCTATTCATTCATAAAACCGAGTCATACAACTCGAACAGTACAATACAATTGGAAACGAATATTTGAAAGTTCTCTACTCTTACGATTTATAATTTCAATCACACCGTGATTCGTCATTGTCGTAAATACAAAGTAAGAGACCTTTTGGAAAGTGTTTCATCCGACGCGAACGTCACGAAAAATATCCGACCAAGTGAATCGCCTCCCTTACGAGCGAATTAAATTTCAAGAAATCAGTTTCAAGACAAACGCTCGATCGATCGGAGATCCTGCGTGGAAGATCCGATCGAGCCTGTCGTTAACCATCGGCTCTATTGATCGCCAATGTCAACGCACACTATCGCACGAGGTGGCGTAGATACACGCGAGAGGGGTGCGTTCCCTATGCCGGACGAAGCACGCAATTCGACTCGAGACACTTTACGTCGTTTCGGAGAGGTCAACTGGCTGTTTGGCGAAGAGACGATTACGAGAAATGAGTGGCTACTTACAAGATCGGACTGTCGTCAGGCTCGACGATGGGATTCGCTGGTTTTTTGGATATCATGCTGGTCAGCTTGGCGGAGTCTTCGCACGGGGTGTCGGTGTTAGACGGCCATGTTGTTGGAAATTCACCGCCCTCTAGCCGACGCTCGGCGAAGTCGCGATCCCTTCCTCGCAGAGAGGAACTCACCCTCTCGTTTCCACCCTTTCTCGCGCGTCCTCGGAATACGACCGAGTTCACTAGCGAGCCTTGCCTCTTCGTTTAGGGCAAAAAGCGCCAACGTGGATTCTCTCCTCTTCGCCTTGCTAATTTAAATGATTTGTGCTGGTTATTTAAAGTGGACGAGAAATATATCAGAGGGTCGGGTTCGGGGATTTTTATATTCGCGCGGGGCTAACGTGTTAAATTTAATTACACCGTGCTACATTTTACGGTGACTTCTTTGCTTTCATATTTCTTTGTAAAAAAGAATTTTATTCGTTGCTCAAAGGACAACTTTTTATTTCGAAGATCGTACGCAGGGCTGACGATTATATCGACTTGCAAATGATCGAAGTCACCTTCGAGAGATTTTCTTCTGTCAGAGTTATTGTCTCCTTGCGTTGTCATATACAGTCTTGTTAATTTATATTGATAATGTATGAATTAATGATAAAACAGTGATTAAAAGCAAAATTTTTTTATGGATACATATATATATAATTTAAAATTTAAAATTTTATTAATACTGCATTAAAATTAAATATACGTCAAAATGTTGAGCCAGTTTTAAATATTGCAAAAATTAATGATAATTGCTGTTTAACAATCAAACATGCTGAAACTACCTCATTACGTTCGATATTTATAAACGCGAGAGTTTCCATCATACGTTAAATATTTTAAAATTCATCGCGTAGTTAATACTGATGAAACAAAATCAGAATAAAAATAAAATTACTCTTTACATCTGTTGTTTCCCGACTAAAAAGATTATATTCTGTAAAGTGTAAACACAGCATTTTGAGCAACGGTGTTAGATAATACTTAAGAGTAGACAACACTTTGTAACGTACATTGTGCAAGGGAATTAAGCGATCGAAGACTTTCCAAGAAAATTTAAACTTGCATCGGGTGTTTGACTGGCGACCGCAGCTCGCGCAAGAACTTTCAGAATATTCAGAACCGTTTGAATTATGCGTTCTCAAAGGGAGCCTCGGCCGCGTCTACTTTCTTGTCTCTTTTCTTCGTTCCTACCTTCATTTTCTCTCCTTTTTTCTTTCTTTTTCCATTCAGTGGGTTTCCTTTGGTCGCGAATGATAATCTCAAGACGAACGCGAACCGCAAATCGACAAATGCGCGCTTTTTAATTAGAAAGGCCGCACGTTTTAATTAAAAAAAAAAGAAAAAAAATCTTCGCCGTTGCTTCAGAGATTGAATTAATAGACACGAGCTTGTTTCGCGCCACGATACCTTTCTGGGTTCACAAATGACCTCGAGCAGAGTGTAACTTTTGTAATTTTGTAACTTTTAATGTAAGTACTTCAATACTTCGCTTTGATATGAGCAACTTTGAATTTGATCAACTTTCTGCAAGGATGCACGAAATAATTTCTATAGAAAGAAACCAGGCGTTTCTTTTAACATTTCTTTGTTGTATTCTCTTTAAGTTACAAAACGAAATTAATATTTAAATTGTATCACTTCGATGTGAGCAATTTCAAATGCAATTCAACTTTGTTGAAAAATTTCAATACCTTCCGAGATTGCGTAAAATAATCTTGCAAAAACATCGAAGAACCAAATTCTCTCTACATAGTTTGTTTGAATATTGCCATGCAGCCACGAAGAAAGCAACGAAACGGAATTCCTTCGAAAAGTTCTTTCGCATATTTCTTGAAACTTTCTACAAGTAAAATTTCACGACCGTACGTACACGCGGTTTACTAGTTGAAAAAGAAACGAATCGATCTTGCTCCCGTGTTCGAGCTCCAGCCAACTGTCAATCAACCTTCATAAAGGCAAATTGTCTTGATAAAGGCGAACTTTGCTGGAAAGTGGAATCTGCGGCAGTGGCTCCCACGCAAAAAATAAACATAGTGTCACGAATCCGCTGATACACGTTCCCAAACCTGTTCCAGAGCCCAGCTACCAGAGAGACAGCGAAAGCCTCTTTCCAACCCACACACACACACACACACACGCACACACAAACGCGTGCACGCAGAAACACCCGGGCGAAAGCCACTTAAACCTCCGTGTGCATCTGTGCTCGAACGACGAGTACAACATAGTCTGTGCAACATTTTTTCCGCCGTCGTGGCAGATCTCGTTCTCTTTCGCAAGGTGTACGCGCAAGGAGGGAAAGAGAGACGAGGGTACGTGGGATGGAGTGGCCGGAAGAAGGACCGTAGTGCCAAGTGCTCTTCCGGCTTGTTATAATTAATACGATCGATCCTCGCGGGGCCGCGAGCCTTTATCGCATACGCGCGGCAGCCACTTTCCTTCGCGGTTTTCGCGAGATCCGCGAATTCTTTTCGGTGAAAAACCCTCCTCTCTTCGTCCCCTCTGGTTTGTTACGAAAAGGTCAATGGGCCGATGTTCGAGAGGCTGGGAATGTAGGGCAACGGGGGGAAGGGGCGAGGCGCGGAACGAACCCCCGTGTGTACCCAATTCATACATTAATTCCGAGGGTAATCGAGCAGGTGGCTCGCGAAACGCGCCGAGTCGAACCTCCACAACGATCGAAACTGCACCCTGACTTTCCTGTGTTTTGTTTTCTTTTTTTTTTTTAATGTTGAGCGAGTCGATTTGTTGGATCGAGACGGTTGATAAATGGTAGATCGTGGTTACTGATTGATTAACTATACTTAACTCGCGAGGGAAGTGTGACAAGCGAACAGGTAGAATTCGCGCACGCAGTACGTAAAAACTATGTAAATTATTTTTTGTCTAATGGACAAAATGGTCTTCCATTTAGGTTCCATTTTTCTGGATTACATTCGTAAAGATACGAATTTGTGCGGGTATATTATAGTATATAATAGTCTGATAATAATGGTTCGTGACATTGGGTGATAAAGTTGTTTTCACAGTGAATATTTTACTTGTCAGATTTTCTTGCATCATCCACGTTAGAACTTTGTCAAGATATATCGCGATAGGGTGTAAAATTATAACATAGTGGCTAACTGTAATACTTGGACAGTTAATGGGATATTCCAGGAAATCGTCATTTATCAGTGTTTGATTAATAAGTTTGCACCACAGTAAACCGTACGTCGTAGGTAGATCGTAGGTAGAGACAAACTTACTGCATATTTATCAATAAATATAATCACACGACCAAAAGTAAATTATATTTTGTCGTTAAAAATGTACACTTCGTATCGTTGACATTCAGAACCTTATATCAGAAAATTTACGAGAAATCCGACAGGGTAAACGTATCGTACGTGTGTGCTTGACAAACACGGTCAACATCGGGAGAAAAAAAGGCTTGCAAGATCTCGGCGTGTCAAAATATTTAATTAAACTCTATCAGGCAGTAAAAATCGCTTTCACGCGATAGGCGACAGACAGTTTCGAGAAGCAACCATGATGTTTCGTGATTAATGGCTGCTTGTTTACGGCATGTGGGAATTTATCGAAGGGGAGGGTTGCGAAGAACTTTCGATCGAACTTTTGACAGGGTGTCGTATATTAGCAGTGAATTTTTTGAACCGGAGGCCGGTAATATCGACGGAAAATTGAAATTTATAACGTGACGGAGCAACGGGATCCAGCGGAATGCCAGCGGGGAATTGCATTTTGCGCTGAATTATCACGATTGCGCTAAATTATCGACGCTGGTGTCCGCGTTGGTCGCTCTCTTCATCCCTTGCAGCTCGCTGTCTAAACGTGTAATTTACCACGCGGCTGATGAATCATCCTGATGATCGTTGTCTACGTGATGACATTTTTCCCTCGTTGGCGACGTGATGCCATCACAAGCGGGAGACGAACGGATGCTGCCGCGACCACTCTGCGCGATTGTTTAATCTTCGCCGATCACCTTTTTCCCCCGCACGTGATTGGCAATAACGTTACAACTTTCATCGGGTGATCGAATCTGCGATGCTCCTTTCGGCGACAGGCTATAATTTCTCAAAAAATTCAGAAAGAAAGAAAGAGGGTGGCCGATGCTCGTTACAATTTGTCAGTCAGTCGAACTTCAAGAAGCACGCTCATCGATGCCATCCGAAATTTACGATCCCCATATAAATTCCCTCCGAGCCAACAATTTTCACGCTCGTAAATTTGGCCCTATATCGAGTCCAGCGAAATCGCCATCTTACCGAGCTTCATCCTTCACCGCGTGCCACAACGCCCGCGCGCTTTACCTTCGTAATACCGAGCTATCATTTGTCAGGGCTCTCAGTCATCTCAGTTGGCTTCGAAAAATTTTCCGTCCCGTTGATAATTCTTGGGAGAGAGCGCGATGGAAAGTTCGGATGGCGAAACTTCCTAATCGAAGGAAGATTCACGGCGTCGTGAGCTACCTGTTCTCTGAAGAGGCCGAGCATTCATTCAACGAACAAAAGGACTCGAGGACCCATCGAGCGTTCCTCTCTCTCCCTCTCCCTTGGTCTCCAGCCCTTCCTCGTATAGAGGTTTGGAGGAGTATCATCTTGAAAGTCGATCGCGCTACTCGGAAGTCGACTCGGTGCTCGTTCACAGACTCTCTCGCCTCTCTCATTAAAAATTCACACGGGGCCAAGTGTTCGCGGAGTTCTAATCAATCGGCCGCTTAAGCGTTTTCGATCCCTTTTTTCTCCTCGGTCCCGGAAGGAAGTCGAAGCCTGTCGTTCTTAAGCCTCTCTGGAAACTGTATTATAGCAGGTCTGAGCCTGTCATCGAGATTTTCCACGCTGTGGTAGAGAGCTGGCGCGCTTTCGATCTGGCAGCCACGTTTATTTGGATTGAGTGGTGATATCCAAAGCGCGCTTTGTCAAGTCGATGCACAATTTTAAAATTCTATATATGTATAAAAGCTCCGTGCTTTTCATATTTTTCAAATTTGAAGATATTAACAAATTTAATTACATTTTTGGACAAGACAGTGGGTTTGGCTGTTTTAAGATATTCCATTTTGATCGTTAATCCCTTGCTGGTTCGCGGACCATAACGAGTGACCGAATCGTATAC